CCTCCAACCTCTTATCAAATTGTTAGCATCGGCCCTCGAAATCATGGCACTCAACACATCAGCTACTAGGGTAAAGAGGAATGGGGACAATGGATCTCCTTGCTTAATACCCCTCTTTGCAGGAAAGAAACCCCTAGCTACACCATTCACCAATATTGAAAAATGACATGAAGAAATACATCCCTTTACCCAATTGCACCATCTCTCCCCAAACCCTCTCCGCTTGAGAACCTCTAGTAAAAAATCCCAGTCCACCATGTCATATGCCTTTTCAAGATCCAATTTGCAACAACCCCTTTTCCTTTCTCCTCCTCTTCACCTCAACACATTCATTGGCAATAAGTATTTGACCAACAATTTGCAAACCATCTCTCCTTCCTTCAACTTTAAGCTAAACTTCTAGGGTCCAAGACACGTTGGCCAATGATTTAAACAGGAGAGGTGTCAAAAAGGTTTTATTCTATATAGCAAAAACTCTAGCCAACTAGCCATCACTATACTATTTGAGGATGGAACTTTGACAATATATATTTTTTGGTTCATCCTATAAAAGTTCAAAGTATTGATACACCTTTGTGTATCGGCAAAGGTGTATTGGTACTTTAAACCATGCACCTTTTATTTTTTTAGTTTTTTTTTCAAATTTCAATTTTATAAATATTATTCAATAAAACAGGGTTCTCAAAAACACCTGTAAACAGGTGTATCAGACCCCTAAAGAAAAAATACAATACGTCTGATACAGGGCATATCATATTGATAATTTGAACCTTTCATCATGTATCTTTTTTGGATCATCTTGTCATAGTTGTCAAGGCGACGCCTAGGCAACAAGGCGCCCTTGGAGGCTCGCCTCGCCCAGTCGCCTAGCAGTTTTGTATTGTGTCTTATAAAATACTTTTAAATTGTTACTTTTTTTGAGATTATAATTATAAAATAGACATTATTAAACAATTACAAAAATATTCATTTTTTGTGTTTATAAACTAATTTCTTTTTATTATTTTCTTATTTGTTAGGGTTTAATCAACACAAACATTGGCCTCTTGAAAACTATGCATCCTGTATATCCTTTTGTTTATATTAGTTAGTTGTTACTTCTCCCAAAACAATTGATGTAAATGTATATGTTCTTCTAATGTACTAAAATTCATCAAGTGTAGATTCAATCTGGCTTTCATTATTAGGACCAACTCCAATATTATCAAGAATGAAAGACAAAAAGATAAATAATGATCCACATGGGAAACTTTAGAAACAAAGAGGATAATATTGTTGTGGTGTTTCTAGGTCCAATTGGTGTAGGAGATTCATTGAGGGTTGAAGTTATGGCTGCAATGGAAGGCATGCAAAAGGCAAAAGAGATGAATGTTGGAAAGCCAATTATTTAAGGAGACTCCAAGCTGGCAGTTGGGTGGCTGCAAAAGGGAGAGGCCAATTTGTGGTGCTACAGGAATGAAGAAAAAAGGTTCAAGTGGCCACCTAGAAACATGGAGATGAAGGTCTTATAGATTCCAGGAGAACCTAAAAGCTTGGTGGATGCTTTAGCAAAGCAAGGGGTGGATAGGGAATATATGTTTTGGGCACAATTGTAAGAAGAGTAAAAAGAATTGTAAGGGCCAAGATAAGACTCCTTATCTGTAAAAGATACTTGTACATATTTGAACTTCTTCACATTTCATTAAAAAGATTTGATTGTTACCAATCAAAAAAATAAATGACCTCCTTTACATCAATGATGGGTATGGTAGACGTTGAGGATCAAAAAGGCCAAAGCTTGGTCTACCGTTTTGGATATAATACAACTTAAAGAATAAAAGTCTAACTGCAACAAATGCACAAATACAGATTGAACAAAATACTAGTACAATGTAAACAGACATACAGTGTGAAGCTTCCTTTGCCAAACAGAGAATGGAGGAAAATGAATTCTAATCCTTTTCTTGATCAAAGATAATGAATATAGAACCTCTCACATGCATTGGAATTAAAGTTCCATTGTAAGGTAAATAACACAGTATAGAATATAACTCTTTGTTAGAAAATGGTAATATCAAGATGCAGGAACCAGCAAGTTCACTGTAATGCTTTGGCCTGAATGGGAGGCAAAAACTAGCATTAAACTAGTTCATATGAAAAGTAGATTTCCAAATTATATTACCTGAAGAAATGAAACTAATTGAAATAAAAAAAAAAAGTCTAACAGATAAAAATCTGAATAATGAAATAAGCAGCAAATAAACAAGAAATCAAGACAAACCCTCAGGGAAAATCAAAGAAGCTAAGAAAGGAAAAAAGGAAAACCAAAAGATTTTCTGTAGGGGCCATCAGCTATGAAGTGGTGGAAAAAGCAGTAATTTAGAAACATTGTTTTGAATACTAAGTAATATCATCGGAAAACAAACAGATTATTGGACCAGCTGCAGCAGACAAAGATAATCACCAGCAGGAGAATAAAGTAATACAGGAGGCACACCCCAAGTTGGACTGGCACCAAATGAGATAGCATGGTTGGATAAGATCCACGCTATTGATTATCCTATATCAAGAAACCAAGGCATCCACAGGTAGGGGTAGGACTCTTTTTTTCCAAATGCAAGAAGAGGTGGTTCACAATTTCTTACTCCAATGCCCCCTCCATGAAAATAATGCTACAGCTGCAGTTCATTAGACTGTTTTGACAAATAGGTTATCTGCCAACATATCTTATGCATTATTAGCAAAAGACTTTCTTAGAATAGTTAATGTATTGTGAAATTTGGTCCCACTTGCGATCTCTTAAGTATTTGGATAGAGCAAAATAAGAAGTTTTTTTACGGCAAGAGATGCCCAGAACAAGGGAGAGATTGAGGAGACCAAGAGATAACTCAATGTGACCATTTCCAGTACCTTGGTTCAATAATTCATAAACAAAGGAGAGATTGATGAGGATGTAGAGCAGGTTAGGCAAAATGGAGGGGTGCATCTGACCTTTGTGTGATACGAGAATACCACTTAGATTAAAAGGAAAATTCTATAAAACAGTTGTAAGGCCAGCTATGTTGTATGCAACAGAGTGTTGGGAAGTCAAGAAACAACATGTTCAACAAATGAGTGTGGCAGAAATTCAAATGCTAAGATAGATGAGTGGAAAAACTAGAAACAATAGGATCAAGTATGAAGCCATCCAAAGAAACTTAGGAGTAGCTCCAATGGGTGATAAAATGAGAGAGAGAGAGCAGACTAAGATGATTTGCTCAAATGAAAAGGAGACAACCAATAGCTCCAATTAGAAGAAGTGATTTGTTACAAGTGGAAGGGGCTAGAAGAGCTAGGGGTAAACCAAAAAGGGCATGAGTATGAGTAGTAAGAAATGATTTAAGCACTAATAATTTAACTATGAATATGGCTTTAAAAGTACATAGAATGGATTGGCGAAACAGGATTCATGTAGCCAACCCCATATAGTTGGGATAAGGTGTGGATGATCATGATGATGCCCAGAATTAAGGTTATTGAAAAAAATTAAGCATATTAGACTATTAATATAGATAAGATCTTGAAGACTGGGTGCAGTCCTAACCTTTGGCATTTTTTCACACAAAGTGGCTGCCCTCAGACTAGAACCCATTTTCTCACACATTGCAGCCCGAGGTTTTACCATCACACCAAGTAAACTTCAGAAACCTTCTCATGGTGGGGAAAAAAAATTTTTGAATCCATGGAGATTGAATAGACTGTACATGTGTCATTGATGCAAAATCATTAACATTTGCATATAGGGTTTTCCCTATATTACTTCTCATATATTAAACAATCACCACCCATGCTTATCAAAAGAATAAGGAAAAAAGGAGGAATGGTAAACAAGAGCTGCAAGCTTGCCCAATTCCAAACTCCATTACTGTATAGGGAGTCTAGAAAATCCGTGCCCAAAGAAAATTCCTACTCAAAATGATCCAGTACCTTGTTTTCTTTTGTGGGAGACAAAAAAAAAAGTCTCAACAATTTTCACAATCTAAGAATTAGAAGTTATCTCAGAAAAAACCGAACCCAAAACCATAAAAACATGAAATGCAGGGGTGGAAAAACATCAAAGGCTCTCATACCGAAGCAGTAAAATCCCACTAAAAACATGCAAATAGAAATCCTGAAAAAATCACTACATTTTCAACCTCCAACGTGTTCCTTATGCTCTTTTCATATTTTCTTCATCAATAAACTTCCATTTATGACTATCAAAATAAGTCTCCATTCGTTCAACGGTCACCAACTACACGTATTACTTCACGAATTAAGAAATGCACAACCAAATCTATACAGCCCATCAGTGGAAAAGTTGGCAATCATAGCAATGCTATACAATAAACCCCCGATCAACCTACCTATAACCTATTTTAAGAAAACCAACCCCTGAATAGAAAGATAGCTAAAAGGTCCCCAAACCTATATTATGCCTGATCTCCTAATATCGCAATTTGCTCCGAAAGACTACATTTTGAAGCCCTAAACCTTGAACTGAAGCTTGAAGTCAGAAGAACCCTAAAACTACAGGTACCCAGATAGTAAAACAAATAAAAAGAGAATGGAAGTAGGAGAGACACTTACAGTTTTTGAAGAATGTGGTTTAGATTAAGGAAGGAAAGGCAATGGCGACGAGGGAGTGAGCGTGGAGAAACCGACAGGAACATCATATAAAAGAACAAAAATGGGGGCTGGGGTTACGGTCCTTTACATCGAAGCGAAAGGTAAAGCGCTCTTGCTCTCTCTCTCAAGTCTTAAAGACATGACGTCAGATCAGAGCTCCTCCAACCCAACTCGCTAACTCGCTAATGCACGCTGAGGATGCGACAAATGTAACCCACGCACAGACCGACTCATAAATAGACATCGCGATGTAACTTGGGGCTGGCACTGAAAACCCGAAATTCGACTTGGATCTGGTTTTGTACCGTAGGCAACCAAAATCGGATTAGACCGGATGGCCATTCGCGATAATTACCCTCTGAATTTTTATCGTGTGACAAATACTCCGAACCATCAAGTCAGAAAATAGAATGTGTTAAATTATCAAAATATCCATCTCAACTTTATGTTTTTATCATTGCCCTTCCCTTAAGCCTTAATTAAACTTATCTTCACTGCAGAGTGCATTTGATCAAAGTAGACAGAATTCGAATCATGACCCTCCTTAATCACACGGTCAAAAACCCCGAGTATTTTGGGGTCAAAACGCACGTACGGGAAAATCTGACTCACAATCAAAATTAGCTTCTTGGACCTTCCTCTTCTTGTATAGTGTTTTTTTTTTTTTTAATCCACAAGTCACATTACCACATTGAAGTAATAAACTTTAAGCTCAGTTTGGAAAGTATAAAACCTTGTATTTTATATTATTTTGTATATTTATATTATATAATATATATATATGTACATATATACATATTTTATGGCGGTATTTGGTATTGATGTCTTTGCTTCAGAAAATGGTGATATATCAATGTTACGTTGGAAATATCGGTGCTTTAGAAAACGATAACATATTTAGAAGTATTTTTCTATAAAAAATGGTGCTCCAAACCATGCCTTGAAAATCTAGAAGGCATAGTTTGGGAAAACGCTAAATTCGACGTTTTCTCAATTTGGAACTCCTTGCTGCTAATGAGGACATGATGCAACAGTAGCGTGGACCTCCTATAATGAGTACCGGTGTTGAAAAGTGAAAATAAATATAGAGCATTAGTACCAAACAGAAGGTATTGTTGTTGCCCCAGAAAAATGTGTCCTATCTGACAACAATTGTTATATATGCAACATTGATGCCAAGCATATACTATATTTGTATTCTTTCCAAACTGAGCTTTAAGAGTTGGACAAAAAAAAATCCCGATTTCAAAATCAACCGCAATCCCATTCTCTAAAAGCTAATGACAATGAAGCTTAATGAATAACAAATCTAAGAAGTTAAACAATGGTATTGTCATCACTTGCAATCCTAGGCCACAAATTCGCACTTTCCTTTCCAATTGGACTAGTGGTAGAACATCCTTTCATTTTTCCCTTTGGCATTATCTTCGAATTACAAGTAGACACCTGTCTTTCGGCACCACAGCTTCCGCTATTGAGCAATGACAGCAGGTGTGATCTTCTTCGATTTTTGTAGCACTTACTACAAATCCTTGGGATTTAAATGGTTAAGTTTAGGGCTTTGTTGCCACCGAATTTGGTGTAAGATGTCACATACCTTGGAAATATCTGGATCTAATGAAAACCTGAGAAAATGGTGAGAACCCAATGAAAACAATGCTTATAGAGATTAATAAAATATTGGGTTTTGAGGGGCTTTTCCATTTCTAGTGATTTGGATTCATGGGTTACTAGTAGTAGTAATTGTCACTATGTTCATTAGAATCTATGGTAATCTGATCAATTGTATATCTTTTCATTAAATAAGAAAATAATAGTCTGGGGATATAAAAAATTAAACAATTGAATGAGAATCTAAGTTAACTAACAAAATGCTAATGAGAGGGGTGTTTGTTTAATAGCTAAAGTTCAAGGAGGCCTTGTTACTAACCACATTGTAGAAGAGTTTTTTGTAATTTACCCTTTTAGTAGGTTTGGTATCATCGTCTTGTGTTGTGCTTGTACTGAATTTATGCACCGGTAGTGGCATACACGAGAAAATGACCATAAAGAGCATGAAATGTCAAAATGGTACCTTAATAAGTGAGTTTTACGTAACCCAAAACAATAGGTAGTACAAAACATTTGTAGTTATTCAGCCTAACCAAACATAGGGGTGTAGATGGATCGAATTCAAATCGAATAAGTCAATATTCAAACTCAAATCGGATTAAAAAACTCGATATCCGAGTTCAATACAATATTCGACGAATATTAAAAGTCAATGTTGAGTTTGAATTCAAATTCGATTGAATCTTCAAACATTTGATTCGATTCAAATTTGACCGACTAATTATTTTAGGTAATTAATAAATATAAATATATAAATTATTTGTATAATTTAACCATTATATATATTGCATAAATATTTAAATATTTTATATATTATATATAAGAATTAAATAATCAGTGAATTTGGATATTTATCGAATCAAATCAGGTCATATCCAAATTTGATTCAATTATGTCAATTCTTAAATTTAAAATATGATTTTTGAATATTGTTGACACCCCTAACGAAACATGACTATATTTGGATAAAGCCTAATCGCCTATGTGGAAATAACACACACAAACCGGCATGCAACGCAAGGACACCAAACATACCCTAATTTTCTTGAGTGATGGTTCTTTATGGACTCAGGGTTCTAGGAAGCGCTGACCTGACACAAACCTAACTTCTAACATCTTTTATACCATGACATCAAACAATGGTCTCTAATCATCATTATCATATACTAAGCCTTGTCCCAACTACAAGAGGTTGCTACATGAATCCTATTTTGCTATTCCATTTTGTTTATCTATTATTAAAATATGAGCACTTAAATCATTTCTCAATTAATACTTCAATAATGTCCTTTTCACTCTACTCCTAGCTAACTTTTCAAGTCCCTTTAACTTGTAATAGATCACTTCTTTTGGATTCTATTGACAACCTTCTATACACGTGAACAAACCATCTCAATCTTACTTGTTCTTTATATTTTATCACAGATTGGAGCTACTCAAAGGCTTATTCAAATGACTTCATTTCTAACCTTGTTCTTTATAGCTTTACTATTTGTCCATATTAGCATTCACTTTTTTACACTCATTCTATAGACATGTTTGTTGATTGGTGAACACTATGCTCTATACAATATTATTGGTCTAAGACATTGGATTCACATGTGCCTTCCCATGTTGCCTATCATGTTCTAATTCCATGAATTAAATCATCTTTTATTGTTTTCTTTATTATGAATGAATGACATCATCCCCAATTTCTTCTTTATTACGAATGAGCTTGTGGGAGTTTTCTTTGATTAAAATACCCATATTTTTGAATTTGGTCCCTTTTTTGGCTATGAGGACAGAAAAATATAATTTGAATCAAACTTATATTCAAGGTGTTTTTTCTCACCAATAAATTCTAATTTATATCCAATACTTTTAACAACATAAAACCTATGCTTTTTAAAACTGACTTAAAAATGAAATTGTTCTTCCATCCAAATGGTAGGTAAATAATCTAGCCATATGGGGCAATTGGGTTAATCCATGATGTCATAAATGATAAAATTTTAAAAATAGAAATCAATACATAAAATTTAAAAACATGTAAAAAATTGGACACATCTATAATATTTTGTATTATCTTATTAAAGAAAAATAGATATGAAAAAAAGAATTGATTTTATTGATGATGGAAATTAAATAAAATTTTTAAAGTCGACCCAAAAATGAAATTGTTTTCCTAATTAATAGTGGGTTAACAATTCAACATTTTGGATGAAATGTGTAACCCTTGATGTCATAATTAATTAATAAAATTAAAAAATACGAAAATAAAATTAAGAAAGAAATACATAACATTTGTAGAAAACATTTAGGAAATCACTAATATTATGCATTCATCATATTAAACAAAAAATGTGTTATAAATAAGAAATTTTTGTACATAAATATAATATGTATAGACACTTATTATTACTATTATTATAATCATCATCTAAATTTACCACATGTAAAAGCATGTACACATTTGCTAGCCTCTAAAAGATAGGGATAAATATTGTCAAATTTCAATAACTTCCTTCACAACAAGATTCTAAAATAGAACAGAGCCAAGAGCCAAGATTTTTTTAGGGGGTGCCAAAAGTTAATAAGCATGGGGAAAGAAACCTAATCAAATTTATAAGGAACTAACTCTAAATCCAAACTACTTGCATAGTATTTAGTAACCATGGAATTTTAGAAGTCTTCCCATGCACATTTATTTAAAAAAAAAATGATACAATCATGTGAAGTTAAATACTTAAACCTGCCCAATATGATTTGTTGTATGGCAAAGTCAAAATGCCCCTGTTGTATGGCATTTGTGTGGATTTTAAGTGGGAATGCACACCATGTCTCCAAACACCACCTTGGTGATTTGCTTTTCTGGGTTGAATGGTAGCTAGCTTCTCCATATATATTTAACAAGGAGGTCGCAAGATTTTGTTGTGACAGTAATTGCAGCAAGTGTGGGTTCAACCATAAGAAGCCATTTTTGTTGCAACTATGACTTTAAACAAAATAGGAAACTGAAACTATTATAATAAGAGTCAATACCGAGGAAAAAATAAATATGATGAAAATTTTAGGCGCTGCAGTGTAAGCGAAAAGAATGCAAATTTTGGTTTAACTTTGTTTTGAGTTTTACTTTATTCTGCTTCAGGTCTTGTTTTACTTCGTTTGCTCTCCAATCAAAATACAAGATATAATTTTAAACAAAAATAAATCAGAATTTGCACCCAAATCATTTGCACTGTCATAGTTTTTTATCAATGCATATACATTTGCATTGCAACCAAACCAGGCTTTAGTCACAATTTTCTAATTTTTGGGTAGAAAATCAAAAGCCAACAGATTCAATAAAACAATTCCCACAACAAGTTACAAAGACACAAGACAGCAGCACCACTAGACCGAAGACAATACAACTAGAAATCGAACAAACACTACTAAAATATAGTCATGATCACAAAGATTCAACGAATCGCCTCTATTGATGCACAAAAATGAAACCAAAGTTCATTGTCCAACACTATATGCACAACTACCAAATTGAACTGAAAGATTCATGATTCATGCATAAAAAAAGAAGAAATAAAAAACATAATACTACATATTCC